TTATTATTAATAATAATTAATAATAAAAAGTCACAATAGTAGTGCTCAACAAAATAAAGTCATTAATTGTCATTTCCTTATTTAAATTATACCATATTTTCAGAAGAAACGCTGATTTACTGATATATTAATATGGCCGGTCACTTGTTCCACCATCCTCATTGGTTAATCATCTTCTTGCGCAACAGCATACCTCATCTTTATTACACCATGGTCTTAGGCTGGTATTCATACCAGCCAGTCAGTTCTTATATTCAAGACCGTCTTAAGTTCAGTCTTGAGATGTCACGAACCAATCAGAGGGCTGTATAGCATCTTAAGACATTACTTAAAATAAGTCTTGAAATAAGCTCTGACTATGGGTGCGTTCAGCAAAACGTTTGTTTTGCAACTGTTGTAAGTTTCCTTCGCGCTAATTGGATCATACTTTTAGATCTAGAAGAATGGTCGTATCTCAGCAGACAATCATAAAACGGTTGCAAAACTGTTGAGTCTGCTGAACGCAGCCTATGAATACCGGCCTTAATCTCAAGCAATGGGTGCATTCAGTACCACGACCGCTCGCTGAGCGCTCAGTGAGCTCTTGTATCTATTTGATCTATATTTTTAGATCTAATGGAATACGCCAATCAGATGCAAGAGCTCACTGAGTGATTGTAGTAAAGTCACTAGATCTGTAAAGTACCGCAAACTTGCATCCATTTTGACGCAAAACGCGGCCATTTCGAATTTATGCATTTGTATATACGTATGTACTTTATTTGGGAAAATGAAGCCGTCAAGTATGTAAATCAATGTTTTTGAATTGTAATTAGTTTATTTATGACCAAAAGAATATGTACGAATGCTTAATTTGTGTTCTTTAGTTTAATACGGATTTATTTGCTGTAGAAGTTTGTAGTGCATGAAAGTGCATGAAGGGACATGTAAGTACAGTTTAAAAGATGAACCACCAACGACCATGCTTGGGCTGTGTTCCGTTTCACGTATAATGTGCATAATACATCATTTATCCTTGTTTAACATTCGGTGAACAACAAAGATAAAAGATGCATCATCCGTGAAACAGAACGCAGCCTTGGAATCGTGTACTATGTGCACTTTGGCCATTTTGACGTAACATTTCTGAAATCGATTGCGCTACTTTATAGATCTAGTGACTTTATATGAGAATCCGGGCTAAATCGGCTACTGCACATCCGTCAAGTTGATTCACTTGTCTTCTTACATCATGCTTGACATCACTTTTAGAACTAGACAACTTCGTGTTTTGTGCAGAGACTTATCTCGTTTCTCTGAAGTGCCCCGAATTTTACTTTCCTCAGCATAAAAATAAAAAAAAAGATTTGTTACTACAAATTCAATATAAAAAAATGCCTCTGCGAATAATACGAATGAAATTAGCATCAAAATGGTGAGTGTTCCAGTATTTTTGGTATTTCAACTTCAGTGTAGTTTAACGTGCGAGAGTATAGAACATGGGCGTATCGTGGATTTTTTTTCGGAGCGATTTTTTTATCAACCCAGGGATGTTTCTCGGATGTACCATGTCAACCCAAAAAAGATTTTGTGATTGCACTGCAAAGAACGTCAACGCCAATTCTGGTGTTGTGACATTTATAATAATTTTTAACAGTAATGAATTCCATTTGGATACTTTTACAGCTTTTAATATCTTGATTTTATTTTGAAAAGAAAAAAATGTTATGTTTTGTATATCATCTAACTTTTACTTTATTTTTTAAAGTATGGGCAATACAGCTACTACAAACAAAATATTTATTTTTTAATATTATTATTATTATTACAAACATTACATAACTTTTACATAAACATTCTGTATGAGCAAAACAAGAATATTAAATAATGTAAAATTTTCTTTCTCTCTCTCCCTCTCTCTTACTCTGATACTTTTTCAAAATTAAATGATTATAAAATAATTATAAAAATCTAGGCCAAGCAGGTGCAAGAGCTCACTGAGTGTTCAATGAGCAATTGTGGTACTGAATATATTAATTATAGCATATATTCTGTTTTTCAAGTCAAAAATTTTACGAAATTTTCCTTATGTATCACATATTCTGTCAAAGTTTGTCACTAACGGAAGTATAAAAACTTACTTATATGGTCTTATAACAAGAAAAAAATATTTTGACAGCAAAAAATTTACATAAAGTCAAAAGTTGTATGCTTTTACAATTAAAAATGAAAAAGAGGGATTTGATAGAGTATAAGTTGCTAATTGGCTAATTTAAAATGAAATATTCTTTTTAGTAAAGCAGTAAAAAATTACTAAGCACCGACCGACGTGAGCAGATGTGTGCTATCGGGATGTGCACTAATGGGATCATCCCAAACTAAAACTAATAAAAAATTTCGGAGAGGTTTGAACTCCCAAAATCATCCCCCTGGATACGCCCATGGTCTTGAATATATCATTCGTATGTTATTTCCTATTAAATGACTATTAAATGACTGCATAGTATAAACATAATAACAAGGTTTCATTGTTATATTTTCACACATTTCTCTTACATCAAAAGCAAGGGAGACTTGTTTTATTCTGATATAAGTATGATATTTTGTGATGCATTAGATATCTGATGTTTCATTCAAGTTATCAAATAATTCTTTTAGGACTTCATCCACAGTGGCTTATGGAACTGGCGCATGGTTATCACTGCTGTACTTTACAGACTGGAAAGTAGTGGTGCGATATATTCCATTCTATGGTACCAAGTTTCAAGAATAGGTTACGAGATCATTCAATAACATTATGTAATAGTTTTATTGGAACGATAGAGATTCTATTGTATCATGCTATATTTATATCCGATCTGTTTATTTAAATTATAAAGCATTAATAAAGAAACATATGTAAAACTGATTACATCGTGAGATCCAGTTGAATTTTTTCCTCTACTCCAAGGCTCTTTTCTTCTGTTGCTCGTAAATAAAATTTGCAAATTCCTCAGCTTTTACTGCCTTCTGCCGTTTGTACCATGGCTGTATGAAAATTCTGCATAAGAAAATGCATTACATTCTAATCATCCTTATTTCATTCTCGTTTAATACTTCATAAAAACAGACCAAAATATACGCTTACTTGAAACCCATTATAGAAAAAGCACCGCCAATTACTACAAGCCCCAACCGGCTAAACTTGTTAAATAGCAGATTTTTGCTTCTCTTTATCAAACTAAAATTTATTACAATATGTTATATTTTAAGAAAAAAATATCATTCACAAAATCTTTGCCCATGAAATTTTTGCCAATGAAATTTGTTTTTAAAACAAGAGCAGTGATAGTTTTTTAAAGAACAAAGAATTACAAATGATAAAAATCCTTGCAATATATTTTTATTATGTTTTTGTTCTTTTTCTCATTAAACATGCAAATTTTATTTTTTGTTAGAAAATATTATTGGTAGTATAAATATTATATCAATAATAATACTGATGATGAGTAACATGTACAGATAATTGTAATTATAAGTTATATGTATAACATATATACAGGGTGTCCCAATAACTACTATTACCTGAAATATCTTCTAATCTGTAGGTATAGAGAAAAATGTATATAACCATAATTATACGATGTAAAGGGGGCTATCATATGGTGATAATAATTTTTGTCCAGGTGGAGGCGCTTCGGAGATTTTAAGGTCAACTTCGTTTTTTTAAATGGACTACGAATTTTTTTACACAATATGATTCCTCTAATTATTCTGCATAAAAGAGTATTAAGATCATGGTACCGAAAAACCAATAGTTTACGAGATATTTTATAGGGGAGAGTGGTCTAAATCGGACCGTGTTCTAAATAGGACCTTTTCAATTTAAATGAATACGGTTAAGCAGATTTGCGTACTATTTATAACGTAAAGTCCTTAAAGACACCAAACATGTGATAGCAGTTTGACAGTTCTCTGTCATAACATTCATAAAATAGAGACAAATATGTATTTTCAGCCATCGTGCGAAAATTTTTTTAAAAAAGAAAATCCTTGTAAATCATTATTTAAAAG